GTTAAGTGTCCGACTTCAGCCAGGTCACGATCTCGCGGTCCTTGAGTTCGAGCCCCGCGTCGGGCTCTGGGCTGATGGCTCGGAGCCTGGAGCCTGTTTCCGATTCTGTGTCTCCCTCTCTCTCTGCCCCTCCCCCGTTCATGCTCTGTCTCTCTCTGTCCCAAAAATAAATAAACATTGAAAAAAAAAATTTAAAAAAAAAGATATTCTTGGCCCATCTACATATATTTCATCTTTATCTGTGCCAACTATGTTTCTTTGCATTGCATGGTCCACACAATCTATGAAGTGTAGATGTTTTACTATCAGTCCCCACGGGCTCATTGGCCACTGGCATTCCCTTCCTTCTCACACAGAATTCAAACCATGACTTGGAGGTTCATTTTTCTTCAGTGTTAATGGAGGCCTCCATCATAAATGGATGGCCTGAAACTTCCTGAAGTCTCTCCCACACTTTCTACCATGAGTTTCACTACCATTAGACAGCTCGGGCCCATACAAACAAGAGTTGGAACCTGGTCCTCGCTCCAAAATGCAGGGCCCTCTCTCAGTGAACTTGGTGCTGGCCATGCCTCACAGAGGTGGGTTGTGGCCACACAGAATCGTGTTTACAGAACATGAGACGGTCACATATCCAATTCCCCCTAAATTCATGGATCACCAACCCCCTGATGGTTCTTTTTACAAGTGAGAAAATGGAGGACCAGGGCACACACTGCTCTAACCTGTTCTAAGCTGCTCTAAAGCACACAGCTTGAATTCAACCCCATTTAAACTAGAATTCTATCCTCACCCCTCATGACACACTGCCCTGAAACCACCTCCCTCCCCACCAAGTAGTCAATTTTACAAATGCCAGTCTAGGACAAGACTGGGTGAGGAGCCTTTAAGGCAGTAGCTTTCAAACTGCAAGCTGGAAAAAACTCAGCAGCTCCTGACTAGCAGCTTTTTTTAAAGAATGGACTGCAATGTATCTGACTACATCACACTTAACAATAGACATTGGCCCCTGAAACTTGTTCCAGCTGTACATACATAAATAATTATACATAGGTGTTTCTTGGTATGAGCCTGTAGTCCAGAAAAGTTAGACAGCCACTGACTTAAAGATTAGGTCCTTCTAGATCAGAGATTTAGATCCCAGGTTTAATCACCCAGATTCAAAAAATAATACTGGCAAGGAACAGGCTGTGGAAGGACATTGTGGAAAAGTCATCACTTGAGTAAAGCCCCTAGCCTTCTGTGGGAGAGACACATAACCACCAGTAGCAGCAACAGAACCCAGGCTGTGTCCTGGGCCAGGAAGCAAACACAGCAGCAAGGCCCCATGGGCTGTGTGACCAATCTAGGGGAGAGGCAGAGATCCCTATAAACAACTGACCCCAAGGTCTCCCCTCTCAGCCCTTCACTGGGGTGCCAATAACAAAGCAGAAATTTCATTGTTTAAATATTTTTTTAATGTTTATTTATTTCTAAGAGAGAGAAAGAGAAAGAGAAAGCATGAGCGGGGGAGAGGCAGACATGGAGGAAGACACAGAATCTGAAGCAGGCTCCAGGCTCTGAGCTGTCAGCACAGAGCCTGACGTGGGGCTCAAACTCACGAACCATGAGATCATGTGAGCTGAAGTCGACGCTTAACCAACTGAGCCACCCAGGTACCCCCAGAAATTTCATTTTTGATAGGCTTTACCTACTGAAGAAGTCAGTCCTTAATGCCACATTCCATAACTCTGAGCCAGCACTAACAAAGCATAAAACCTTGATGTTGACCATTTTAAATTGCATTCTCTCATGTTCCCCTCCCCAATTTCATTCTCCTTTCTTGATTTCCAAAAGCAACCCCTATCATTCATCTTGTGTATATATTCCATATTACAGCCTAATAATTTCATGATGTGTGTCTGTCCATAAGCAATGCACGACATTGAGGGATTTTTTTAAAGTTACATCCAACTAGGAGGAGGTATGTGTCCTTCCCCAATGTTTCACTCACCGTTTTTTAGAAGTATCTGTATTAATATATGTTCATTTATGTAACATGCCACATAGTTATTCCATCCACAGGGATATTCCATAAACTGTTTCCAATATGCTGTCATTATAAGCAACAGTATTAGGAACATTCTTGAACATGCCTCCTTGGGTTCATATGGAAGTCTGTTCAAGTGACAATATAGTTGGACATAGTATTACTGAGTTATCAAATACACATACCTTCAACTTGACTAGTTATTGCCAACCTCGTGTACCAGGAAAACTACTATTAATAGTTCAGTGTGCGTCCTTGGGACTTTATGTACCTGTACACACACACATAAATATATGTGAGTTTACAGAGTATGAATATAGGTAAGTCTATCTCATGCTTTATAATGGGTGCAAAGGACTATTTTCTGCATGAATTGACCAGAGCCCAACTGATGGACACTAAGGGGTTTTCCCCAATCACACTATTTCAGAGAACTTTTTTTGCGCATCGATAACTAGCACACTGGTTCTAGTACAAATGTAGAACAGATTGGGACTGCCAGATCCACCACTTAATTTTACAAAGGAGAAAAAGCCGAGTCCTGGAGAGCTAAGGTGAGGAGCTGGCCCAAGGACCCCAGCAAGTGAGAAACGAAGGGGCTGAGGGCTGGGGTTCCTACAGTCTGGTCTACAGCACTCTTAGGCGGAACTTGCTTCTGCTTAAGTGAGTAAAACATTCCAATACACGTCATCCCCATTTACCCTGTAGATTTTGACATTATCAAGAGGCACTCTGTGTATCACAAAAGTCACGTAAAATCTCCATTTCCGTGTGGAAAGGAGGTCAGGCAAAAAGGATCTTGCCCTAGATCCTTGTGCTCCAGAAGGCTGCGAGAGTCAGCCTCTGACTCTTATCCTCAGTCCAGGCACCTCACATTCACGGAGGCTAAGTACATGCTTGCTGCTTCGGCCTGGCACGCAGACGGGACTCCCAGGACTCCAGCCTGAGGTCAGGGAAGAAGAGTCAGTGACCACATAGCACAGTAATCGATGCAAACTCTGAGGCAGAGGGAGGTGTCCAGGCCTCCAAGCTCAGGAAAGCAGTGAGAATTTTAAACGCCGGACTCAAACCTAGTTCTCCTCAGCAAATTTATTCACCTACTTATACTTAAGCCAGACATCCAGCCCCAACCACATTTCAAACAATTTCAGCTGCGCTTGTGTTCTCTGGTGCTGAGTGCACAGGCTCACGCGTGCACGCACACACACAATGGGCTGGGTGCAGTCTTGATGCCTGACCTTTGGCATATATGAGTTTGAATCCTGACTCAGCCTCTCATTAGCTGTGTGACCTTAGGCAAGTTATTTGACCATCCAAGCATCAAATTCCTCCTCTTAAAAAAAAAAAAAAAAAAAAAAGTAGACAAAATTTGGACTTACCTTATAGGGTTTTATCAAAAGTAAATGAGTTACTGCATGTAGGTGCTCAGAAAAGCTCTTAGCCCACAAAAATTTAGTAAATATTCAGGGTACTTGCCTTGTGGTGGTATCTGAAATAAAACAATCTCCCTGGCCTGAAGGAGCTAGTAAATTTATCAGAATGTCAAATAAAACAATAGAAGCGGGTGTGGCTGCAGGTCAGAGGGAGTGGCAGGTACAGTAAACAGTGCCAGTCTGGAGGGTATATGAGGGATACCCAAGAACTGGAGGAGGCCACTCACCTCAAGGAACTCATGGAAGGGCTGAGACATATACTCAGAACAACCCTGAACAAGGTCACACCCTCGGTGCCGGGTCCAGGCTGAGTCCCAGGGCAAACATACTTGTTTTACAAATTGTAGGAAGGTACAAAGTCTTGTCAGACAAACCAGGCCCCCAGAGGCTCTCAGGCAGGTTAGCCTCAAGGGCCCACATGGGATAGAAAATCTGAAGGCATATGGCGCATGGATAAGCCTCTCCTCCCTCAGGCTCTCGGGAATCTGTGCTTGCTGGTTCCTCCACTGCCCTGGCAGCTGCCCCTGGGGCTCTTTCTCCCAACCCTCCACATGTGGGTAGTTATCCTACACTGCTCACCCCTCGCGGCCCCCACAGGTACCTCATCCCTAAAACGAACGGATACTGTGAGCAGTAGGTGAAACAAGCTGTGTGAATGTGCTGACACAACTGAGTTGCGTCCCCTCTCTGAGGATGTTGCCGCCCCTAGACAGCAGGGTTTGACATCCCAGCATCACCTCCGAGTCCTCTGTGTCTGCCCAGCACATCCCACCAGGGCCACACTCTGTCTCTACCAGCTGCCCGTCATCCACTGCTGCTGCTGCCGTTCTGCCCACACCTCGCGAGAACTTGGTTACTCCCTAGTGCTCACTGAAGAAAGACTCACGGTTTCAGGTGTGCACGCAAGGCTTTCTGTGATCTAGCCCAACCTACCTTCCAAATTCTACTTTCACCATGATCTTTTACTCTGGTTTCCTGGATGCTGCATCATGAAAGCTAGGGTCTGTATCCAAATAAGGGGATTAAACAAAGCCTGGCGGGGTCATGCGCACACCTTCAGAGCCCTTAATACCTTAAGCTGCACTGTGGCTCTTCATGTTGTCCCAAGTGTATGTGGACCTCAAGTATTCTTTTCTCACAGAGTTCAAGAAACAGTCTAGGACAATCTGTACTGTACTGTTTCTCCAGCAAGGCTGCGGAATGTGCCACGTAGAGTGACTGCCCTGGCCCATGGCTGTGACCCCCTTAAATGTGTTTGTCCTCCATCACCCTGAGGACAGAGTGTGCCAATCAGCCTGTCTCAGCACATGGAGAGGAAACAAATGGTTGCCTGCTCGCCCCATTTTCCTGTCTACCCCACCCTACAGACTTCACTAAATTTCCTGTATGCTTAACCTAGCCAGGGCTAGTTTCTGATGCGTGAAACCAAAGAACCTTCACTGATATACATCACTCTTTGGGACCCTGAGCCAGGCCACCCAAATCTTCCCCAAGCAATGGACCACCCAGAGCCAACACCCCCTACCCCAGGGCAGTACCTGTCCCATCTGGAGTAGACCTCACAAAGGTGGGCAGCATTTTCACTGAAGCAGTAGGGTGGGTGGTGGCTCCAAGCCCTTTTTCCATCTCCTTGCGGAACCGCTGAGAGATCTCCAGAAGGTTCTCATCAGAAAGACGCATGTGGTAGAGATACTGGTCGACCTGCAAAGGGGGAAACAAGAGTACAGACCTGTAGTTTAAATCAGTTGGTACAGCCATTTTTGTGGTAGAACATCACTCAGTCCTTCGAAAGAATAAAGTCTATTATGTACAGAAAATTATTATTAAAGACCATTTACTTGGAATCTATTTGACAAGACTGTTAAAAAAAATACTAAACTCAAATTTCTCAAATGAAAAAAAAAGGTTTAACTTTATTTCTGAAGAGTGGTGAAGTTGAGGGGAAAGGCACACTGGGGAAGAGGAAGAGTTCTTTCCAGAAAGGCTGAGTTTAAAGGTCTGTGACAATATCCTGGGAGCTGGGGTTCTTTACTGACCCCCACACACCTCAAGGCCAGTCATGGCAATCCTATTATCCCCCACCCTAGGCCGAGCAGCCGGCTCCTCTTGCCTCACTTACACAATCCCCAATTCTGCCTTTACCTCTTTCATCTAATTTCTACCCCTAGCCAGACTCTAACCATTCCCCTGCTTAAACCTTCCAGTGGCTTCCAATGAGAACCAAACCTGAAATCCTTCCAAGGCCCCACATGATCTGGCCTCTCGCCACCTCCTAAGCTCATTGCATGTCTCTGCACTCCTTGTGCAAACCCTACCCTTGGTTCAGTCCTTCCCTGCCTCGGAACCCATGCACAGGGGCCCTCACAGCTCTTTGTTCCATCCCATTTCTTCAGCCCCCTCCAGACCTCTCTCCATGGAGGCCTCCCATCCTTCTAATGAAACAGTCAGGCCTCCCATTATTCCAAAAACTCAGAGTTTTCCCTTCACAACACCATCCATAATATGAATTTCTTGGTGTCCAAACCATAAGCACCAAGGCCAAGAAGAACCACATCTGTGTGTTCACCCCTGCATCCCTGGCATGTGGCTGACACAGAATAGAGCCTCTACATAAATAGCAACACAAGCTCTCCTGTCCTCAGAGGCAGAGACAGCTCTCCCTATTTATGTCATTGATCTTATTCCCAACATAAAGCTACATGTACTTGATTTACTACTCAAAGAGGCATTAGGAGTCCCTCTCACAGTTTCCTCCTTGGAAGTTCTAGTCTGCCTTGGCCATGGTTGGTCCCAGTTTTCTCCTATCAGGAAAAGGTCTGATAGACTTCCATCCAAGGAGGCACACAAGTTTCCGCAATACCCTTATCCTCAGCAGCAGTGTCCAGGACAGGTGACACTGCTGGCCATGGAAGGGTAGACCAGACACAATCAGGGACCTCAGATCAAGCCCCAGCTGCCCCCTCAAGGGGTGATGGTTACAGTCCTCTCAGCATCATCAGCAAACTGAGAGACTTCAAGCAACCCTGCTATTCCCTGCTCTGAAATGTCAGGGTCCCCAAGGGCAAAGCTTGGCTGATGACCACTGCCCCTGTTATTCCTGTGGGAGACAAGTAAGCACCCGCCTGCCCCTGCCCTTGCTCAACTTTGACAAAGAAGCACACATTTTTATAATTAGAGTTTCCAGACAAATGTGCTTGTTAGCATTATAGCCTGTTACAGTTTCCAGCCTTTTTTGTTGGGCCGTCTAGAATTTCTTTTTTAACCAAACTTGCAGCCTAAGATTTCCAGAGGAACAGCAAAAGGTGCTTAATCCTTTGAGAAAAGCACTCAGTCTGTTCAGCAGAGACAGTCCCCCTACTCACGTCTTCTCTATTCCAGGCTGTATCCTAACTCCCTATGGGGTCTGGGGCACATCCTCCCCTTTGGGCCTCTTTCTGCCCCTGTAGAACAAAAAGATTGGCCCTCCTTGGATCATTTCAAATATCCTGCTCAAGACTCATCTTTGATCATTCTTCAAAAATCCCAAAAGGTGAAAAATTAAAAATAAATAAAATCCCCAAAGGTGAAAGATCAGAGTGTGGAGTAAAACACTAAAAATAGCCACAAGCCAGGCCAAGAGTCTCTGGTGAGTCAGCCCACCTTGTTCCACAACCACCGTGTGGTTAAAACACAACACTGAGACGCGACCCTTGCCTACACAGGGTGGGCAAGAGCAAGGTAGGAGTAGAGAAAAGCAGTCAGCCACTTCTCTCCCTCCCCGGCCAACAGAGAGGAACTGAGCTTGTCAGGCTGGGTTTCAAATTTGCAGAAATGAGGATTTCCCTGAACATGCTTGTGGCCAGCATTTATTGAAAAGCCACCACAGACTATCCAAGTGTATTGGTCTAAATCAGGAAGAACCCAATCGCCCATTCTGTTTGCTGACCTCAGGCCCCTGGCACGTCATTTGCCATGAGCCCACCATCAGCCTCAGCCTTTCAGGGCTGTGTGGACACCAGCCCCACCACTGATCCGGGTATCCTATAACACTGGACAGCCAGAGTGCTCCTGAGATACCTGGCCTCCCTCACAATGTTTGAGGCTCCCCAGGAGGTAAAAGGGCACAACCTCAGCCCTACACCATTCAAGTCCCCTCCCTGTTGGTGGGAGGCAAATCCCCGGTGACCCTGGGCCCAGGGCAACTTTAATCACCCCAGAGGCCTCCTGCTCCAGATACGGGGACACCTGGGCTGGCCCAGAACACTGCCTCCTGGCTGATAAAGCTAATGTACATAACCCAGGGCCACCAGACCACGGACCAACACCAGGCCATGTCCAAGAGCAGCCTGAGTAATAACAGTAAACCCATACGTGGCACAGACGCTGTTCTCAAGGTTTTACATTCATGAATTCATGTCACCCTCACAGCAACCCTGTGAGGTAGGCAATGTTATCACCTCCACTCTACCAGAAAGGGATAGCAATGTGCCCAGTCACAGAGATGCAAAGGGCCAGACTGGGACTAGACTATACAGGCCAAATGGCACTACAGTGCCATGCCCACTAAAAAGGCCATCTTCTATTCAGTCATCCCCTGATGCAGATACAAAGGTCAAACAGCAAAGAGCATGGCCCAGGGGAATGGTCTGGCAGATCAGAGGGCAGTAGAGGCAGCAGACATGTCTCTGTACATTGTCATGAGTTTGCCACATGATAAAACTGGAGCTCCCATATTACTACTTTTGCAAAGAGAGAAGTAGAGTGCCAGAAGCTTCACTGCGACCCACTCCCCTACTCCCCACCCCGCCCCGGCTGGCCCCACCGCCAGCACGGATGGCTCTGGGTGTTACAAAGGAAGCCAGCCAGGAAAGCAAAGCCTGTACTGCTTTATTAAGAGGCTGCATGGCCACGACCTCGGAGGGCGAGGTCATGTACACGAAAGAGCAAAGGTGGACTGGCCACAGTTCTACAGCGGCCATTGTTCATTTAACTTTGATGCTTCAGCTGTGACAGGCTGCTTGGAAATCCAGTCTATACTTCTCATCCTTAACCCTCAAAGACTAACAAGTAAACAGCCTTAATTCAAGTCACACTGCCTTTTACCTAAGAGTATAGTCATCTTTTAGTGTCCGGTGACAGACGAAAACAATGACGATGATTGTTACAGTAGCTAAACACGTACCGAATATTTCTTACCTGCCAGACACCATCCTACGACTTTACTGACTTGGCTGCCATTGCCCTTTTGTAAAACTTCTACACCCCTGTTTTACAAGCCACTTGATGGTGAGGGGCAGAGCTAGGATTCAAACTGAGGTGCATCTGACTCTAAAGCCGGGCACTTGGGACCACCACCTTTACTTCACCTGTCCTGTGGTTTCTTGGATGACCCTGGGGTCTTGATTTCCTCTCTAACACATGAGACCAAAGAAAGGATATGGGACAGCTCTGAAAAATGCAACAAGAGCACCTTGGCCCGAACTTCCCCTTCTTCACAGCACAATGATATGGTCACCCTGAGTTTAGTAGGAAGGAATGCTTAATCGCCTAAAGTTACAGTTTCCTAAACACTCTGCGGGGCCCACCCAGCCCCGCTGGCACTGCTGGGTTGGGTGAAGGGTGGCCGAGGGAAGCTAAGAGCCAGAAACAAGAAACAGCTTCCATACAAAGACGATTTTCCTAGATTGGGAAGAAAGTGAATGCAACTTTGCAAGATCCTGCCAACCTCTCCCACTGTGCAGCCAAAGGGAAGGAGCACCAGGCCCAAAATCACGGACAAAGTCATTTAAGAGGTATCAGATGGACGCAGGGCAGTAAGACTGCAACTAAAAAGTACCCTTAAAAATGCCCTTGGGGCATCACTCGGTTTTTGTTGTTGTTGTTGTTGTTGTTGTTGTTTTGTCTAGTTTGTCAGGTTTGTCTCTCTTACCCCAGCAACCATCAGGCCTAGGTTTGAATGCTTCCAAGCATGACAGGCTCAGTACTCTAAGGTGGTTAGCTGCTACTATTGGTCAGCTCTAGGTGTTAAAAAATGTTTCCTCAATTTGAGAGAAATCTACTTTCTGAGAACTTCTGTCTAGTCTCCATTCTACCACTTGGGATAAGAGTTCCCAAACTTGGTGACACATCAGCATGACTGACATGAGGAGCTTTTTAAAAACATTAAGAATTCCAGAGATTCATTCCAGACTGACCAAACTGACTGATACCTTTAGAAGTTCAAACATCTTCCCCTCTCCTTAGGCTGGTACCACCATGCCAATAATGTGAGAATAGTGGGCTATATTCCGGTCAACACTGCCTAAGGTCATTCTACCATTTTTCTACCTGCAGTCTTTGGAAGTCAGTAGTTAATAAGACATTAGGCCAAGTGTGAAATAATCCTGTGTTGATCCTGGGTGCTGGGAATTGGAAAGATTAAACCCTGTATACTTGTTGGAAACATTCAGGTGGTTGGAAACTATCAAAGCAGAATCACTCAGGCCAACCCTCATTTCATAGTTAGAGATGGTCTAGCCAAGCTGTGGCATCAGAAAAATCATTCAAATCCTGGCTGTAGCATATGTACAGGTATGTAACACTGGATGAGTCACTCTCTCAGACCCAGTTTCCTCCCTGTAAAACGGGATGAATGTGCCACACAGCAGTCACTGGCATAAATGGCTTTATGATGGACCTAAAGCTCTATCTAACCGTTCTCTTTTTCTCCTAGACTCCCC